GTTGTAACGGATCGCCTGGCACCCTGACTGGGTACCTCCGTTGAAGGATGCTCCTAGCACTTCCTGAGGTTATTAAAGCTTCCATCCTTTAATTGGTAGTTGTAACGGATCGCCTGGCACCCTGACTGGGTACCTCCGTTGAAGGATGCTCCTAGCACTTCCTGAGGACTCCAAGCACTGCAGCAGACACCAAAACCACCGAACCGGAGAAACAAATAAATTCTCCCAAGCATATGAATGCTGTAGACAGTTGAATAGGAACCATACAAATAGGTCTACTCTCCTAGCAGTCAAACTGGAACAGCATACAATAAATCTTTCCCCCAACAATGAGACGACACTTCACTCTGAGGGTTAAAACAGGAACTCCCTGTACTCTCACATACAGTCTCTTTTATTCCCAATCCACAAACATAGTACAGCCCACAGGGCGTTACAAAACAACCAATCACATCACAGTTACATCCCACATATTCCCTCCCCTTATCCTGAGAGGAAACTCAATTATACATACAGTTAAAACATACTTTCTACCCAACTTTCATAACTCCAAAAACATACATCACATTCACATAAAATTACATATCTTCACAATCAATCCATTCAGGGGAACAACATATTCAAAAATGGCACAAATCAGACAAGGGGTTCAAAAGTTAGTAAAAAGTCCTTTGTGACTAAATGAAGCATGGCTTTCTGGCCCAAACCAGTTTCAGAGCCTTCTATCCTGGAGATAAGTAATTAAATTATCTCCCAGGACAGACACAGACTCCATTAAGCACATGGTTGCAAAAAGACACAAAACACTTTAAAATACATAAAGTCACCTTTACACATAACACGCAGACATTTCACATATCCCCAGATAGCTGGGATCTGAGTGCACATTATTAGATGAATGGCACTCAGATCACACAAATAAGCCTTTCTGCAGGGGAAATAAACAGTTTAACCTGCAGGGCCATAGTCCAAAGGAAGCAGGCGAGCAACCAGGCTTCTCCAGTTCACAGTGGCGAGGTTGGTTTCGCCACACTTCTCCCCTTTACCAACTAGACTAACAGGGTATCTGACCTCCTGCCGGTCCGTGCCCTGGTTAATCCAGCAACCCACCCACAAAACAGAAACAGCAGTACAGCCCACCCACAATAACTGGTTACTACACCTGGGTAGAGGAGAACTTTGTCCATGTCCAGGTGCCTCACCACGACTGTGTGGGCAACTGTTAGGCTGCCATGGGTGGTTGCTGAGTGGGCAGAGACCAGCGGTACTCTGCCCTGATGCCAGTGCTACCACGGAAGTAGCCTGGTGGGAGCCTGGTTGTGGGAGGGAGAGACCGACTGTCTCCCCTCTGGATACACCGCTCTGTGGCTGGGGAACAGGACCAACTGTCCCTACCCCTTGTGCTGTAAGTGCAGAGACTACAGTCCCATTTGCACTGTTGGGGGGTGTAACATCTCCCCTTGCTGGGTTAGGCTGCCGCTGGAGAGAGGGTGTAACAAGCTCCTCTCTCTGAACTGTAAACTGCCGCTGGGGAGAGGGGGTATCAGGCTCCTCTCCCTGACACTCTCTCTGCTGGTGGAGAGGGGGACCAGCTGTCTCCCCTTTCAATATTTTGTCCTGTGGTTGGGGTGCGAGACTGACGGTCTCTGCTCCCTGCAGGACACTCTGCCGCTGGGGAGGAAGGACGGCACCTTCAGCTCCCTGGGGTACACACTGCCGCTGCGGAGGAAGGACTGCACCTTCAGCTCCCTGGGGTACACAC